GATATAAACAAGAAACTTTCAGAACGTTTTGACTAAAGTTTCGTCGGAACGAATTTACGGAAAATTAACTAACGAACGGAGACGTAACAATATTTTATGCCAGAAATGATAAAATGCCTGCTGGAAATGTTTTTCTCGTGGAAAAGAAGGTTACAGTAAAATAACTCCAAACATATTGTTGAAAGTTTGGACAATGAAGTTAAACTTTTAAAAATGTTACCTCATTAACGCTTTAATAGGGAAAGATGTCTAGCACACAAATTATATTAAATATTAAAAACTAATTTGACAAAGGAAGTTTTTTATGCTTATAATAGATCGTAACTGTACGACTAATATCGTACACTTAAAAAAAACTGATTGTTGAAATATTTAATTTAATGTGATTAAAATTTAAAGATCGTGTGTAAATTCTCGGGAAACTAATTATATGTTTCTGAACATACTCGTGGTGGGCAGAGCACAGATAGCCCATTGTGTAGCTTTGTGCTTCATTACAAACAAACAGTATATCACGTATTGTGTAACATCAAAAAGTGATTAAAATATTAGGAAGAATGTTACTGAAATTCTTTCTAAAATAAAATTTGTTTATTCTTGTTGTTGTTGTTTACACATTATCCTCTGTATGTACTTGCACAGTGAAACCCTATAAAGAAAGATTGGTTAGGCTTACTTAACAGATATGAAAAGTTGTAAATTCTGTAAAATTATTGAACTCAGAATGAATTTATAAAACCCCATTGACTTTCTTTTATCAGGGTCTTAAATTCGTGTCGTTTTGTCGGCCCTGACCAGCTAGTAGGCCCGTGGCCAAACTAGAATTATAAAACAAATAAATTAATCGGCTCAACTTATATACACATACACATTTGCTTATAAAAAATAACATCTGGAAGTTAATTAGTGGAATTAATCTATAGATACATATCGTAGGAGTTAAATCTGATAAGGACCAGTTAGAGTTTCCAAGAAGGAGAGATAAAAAAAACTTTTAATATTTAGAGCAATTTGTTAGTGTATATTAGCTAGGAAACGTAAATTAAATAAAACAGTAATCAGGAAGATAATGAGAAGCGAGTAACAAAATATTATGACAGTTTCGAAAATGATTAAAATTAAAAAACTGACTGCTAAAACTAAACAGTGTACAAATGCATATACATGTTAATAAAGCTTTACTTCGTAATTCATATTGTTACGCTTCCGTTCGTAAGTTAATTTTCCATAAAAATTCTTTCCGAAGAAACTTTACTGATACAAGTCCTTTCTTAATTAAAACTGGTTTATTCTTTTTGAATACAACTTTGCAATACACTTAATTTCCACAGTCACGCTATAACAAACGCTATAATTCACAACAAATGTCTCACGTGCTCGACTAAACTGTCCGTATCTATCTCTGTCTGCAGTTCAATTGCACATTGTTGCCGTCACTTCTTGGCGGCTTATATATACAAGAATACCGCATATCTAGTAGCCTCTCGAGACTTCAGGAAGGGACGTGAACATTCGAGAATATGACGTGTTACTAGAGTCACGTGACCCCCGCTGTCGTAACAATATCAAAGTTAACTTTAACTATATCGTAGTCCATAAAAAATGTTGACTTAAACCAAAACTTTACATGGTAATTAATTAAAATTTTACCTTAACCAAGGCTTTACGTGGTATGATTTATTATAAAAAAAAACTAAATGAGCCAAAGCTTTACGTGATAATAAATTAAAATTTACCTAAACAAAATATTTACATCAGTCGCACTGAAGTTGTTGTGAAATATATTACAATGGATTTGCTCTTTAAAATTGTGAGATAGTAGTTGACAGATTAATTTAATAACTACACAAACAACCTGGATGTCTCGTTTGGTGAAAAAATAAATTATGTTAAAGCACGATTGATATAAGTCTATTTAAAAATTTTGAATCGTTTGTACAACATTATGACGTGTAATAACTTTCCTGACATTTTTGTAAATGAATGTGTTTATCAACAGAAAATCGTATAAAAACTCTAAAAGCTATATTTTACATAACTGTAATTCCAGGCTTAAGCCTACGTGTAAAATGTAATATATTAGACCAAACCATACCAGTAATTCCAGGCTTAAGCCTACGTGTGAAATGTAATATATTAGACCAAACCATACCAGTAATTCCAGGCTTAAGCCTACGTGTGAAATGTAATGCATTAGACCAAACCATACCAGTAATTCCAGGCTTAAGCCTACGTGTGAAATGTAATGCATTAGACCAAACCATACCAGTAATTCCAGGCTTAAGCCTACGTGTGAAATGTAATATATTTGACCAAACCATACCAGTAATTCTAGGCTTAAGCCTACGTGTAAAATGTAATATATTAGACCATGTGATAACTGTAATTCGAAGGCTAAGTCTAAGCGTAATGTAATACATTACATTAAACACTAAATTTACGGAGAACCGCCCTGTATTTTTTGTTTACGTGGACTTTTCAGAAACTATTGTGTAAAATTAACTTAATTTCATAGGTTAAAGTTTAAAGTAATGTAGGCATTTGTCAGAAAAAGTAAAACAAAAACATAAGTTCACTAGAGGTCGCTGCCCTTGAATATTGTTAGTTTGCCCTGCAGCCACAGGAGGCACAGATCGAGATGATTAGTTTGAACATGAAGTTTCTTTTCGTGAACAGCTAACACACTGACAGACTATTACAGAAAGCCTTCGTACATTCTGCACATGTGCTTCGTTCGGCCAAGTGTGCTACCTTGAACTATGACATTTGGCTTCAGGAGACACTGATGTAAGTTAGTTCTGTTAGGAAGTGGTAAGAATGTGTAAACAAACCGATTATAAACTGTTCTGAAACCTGTATTTACGAAGAAAGACCTGCTTCTACCATTGTGGGTCGTTGGACCTGTGACTGGACCTTGTCATGGTTGAATTAGCAAAGATGTCAATGTCCTGTATTCTGTTGCTTCCAGAAATGACAAGCACTGATGAACCTATAGGGCAATTATTTTCATGTATTTAAAACATGATGAATTATCAATACGTTATTTTGAATGAAGCGAGTATTTTATGTTGCAGTTTTTATGTTTTTTCTGTCACACATATTCAATGGTTGCGTTAATAATCAACTATCTTATTATCGTGTTAGTATCATATGATCAAAGAGAAACGTGAGCTACAACTGGCAGCAAAAAAATAACGTTACGTAATTTTCTTTCATTTTGTTCCTTAACCATTAACTGTAAATCGTGTACCATCATAACATATGACAATGTTACTTGAGTATAGCTGACCAATGTTATATCGAAACACGTAGCACGTTCTCCCTAATATAAACCACTTTATTATGCTTATAATATGCCAACTTATTATTACGACACCCCTGGCGGCCAAACAATTCATTCTCTTCGCATGATCAGATATTATGAAAAATATATAAAAAAATCTTGCGTTATTTAACCAGTACAAGCAGTTCTTCAGTTACTACAGTAAGTGGCAAAACAATAATCGTTAGTGAATAAATGTTAATTAATATTATTTTAGTATATTAACACATATATTACCTACTTCGACTTAAAATAAACGTTTATTACTACCAAATATCTTTTATCCTTTGTACAGTTTAATTAAAGAGTTGAAAATTTGTGTGGGAATGTCCGCACTATGTTTTCTACTTCCTGACCTAGAACCTTTCAGAGTTCACACGTACTTTTGTTCACGATAACATTTCATTTTTCTGCGTAGTTTTTACTAAAAATGTGGTGACTAAAGAATTACCTCGAGACTGATGAAATGCGTGAAGAGTAGGGGTATGTTGGAGGTATAGACAAATTCGTTTCAATTAAATTATATAATTTTTGTTAATCATTCGACAATGGTTCCGTCATTTTTTGACGGGCTTTTATACCGGTTTTGATATTATGTTTTCAATACTGAAAGCTAACGAAAATTCATGATGTCAGGAAAACACCTAGATTCAATAAGTCTTGATACAAAATGATAAAAACCCTATAACCCGATGGTTTATATGATGAAGTAACGGAAAGAATAGGCCTAATATTTATGCTAAAAATCCCACTGTTATATAAAGATGATAAGAAGATAATGTTAAAAATCAAGGGCTAGCGAAACAGCGAAACCAAAAAGCCTAAATATTTGCGACAAAATTCAGACTACTGGGATTAGATCTGAAGAAGGTACATCAAGGTGTTAAAACGTCTGAAACGGTTTAGTTTGACATATCATCACAGCAATACATAATTCTTTCGTTGTCCGGTTCTTTTTAATCATCTGATGAAAATAATTTGATGTCTACTCCACCTAACGATAATAAATTACTTTATTTCCTCTTTTAATGATTATAGAAATTTGGACACTTGTACTGTTGTACATTTGCTTGAGATCTACGTTACAAATGACGTTAAGTAACATAAAACAAGTGATCTTGTACAAAGTAAACGCAATAGCTAACATACTGACTAATTCAGTCTCTATATTAAAATCATCCTTGACTGCCTAATTCAACTCTTCAAACAGTTCACTTTCTAGCTATTCTTACGAGGCTTTAAGTAACGTTCGAATATGCTGGAACTTTACCTCACGCCCTTAGAGCGTTCCAGCTGTTCTATCTAGTATGTAGGCCTATCTCAAATTCCCGAACGTAGCGATACTATTAAGACCTGCTGCTCCCTCTAGATACTTTCTAAATTACAACATTAATCATCTGAAAGTTCCTTGTTTATATCTCCAGTCAGTTCAAAAAAACTTCCTGAAAGTTCCTTGTTTATATCTCCAGTCAGTTCTACAAAACTTTCTGAAAGTTCCTTGTTTATATCTCCAATCAGTTCTACGTGAGACGTGAGTTATAGCGTTGTTATAGAGCGACTGTTGAAATTAAGTGTATCGTAAAGTTGTATTCGGAAAGAATAAACCAGTTTTATTTAAGAAAGGACTTGTGTCTGGCCAACAATATTTTGTCCGCATACATTCAATTACTCATTACACTGTTGTCACGTTGTGAACGTCTTATATACACAAGACTAACACATATCTAGTAAATGCTAGGGCATTCTTGAAGTAACAGGATATTTCTAGAAAGAGGTGGCGTGATACTAGTCACGTGACCTCGCTGACGCAACAATACTTTATATATAAAAATGGCCATAAATGACCAAATACCTCATCCAAAAGAGGATGAAGGAGAAGAGGGTGCTGATACGTCCCCTCTAAATCTAGATGTGGGTAGCATTATTCTTAAATATATTAAAAAACACCACAACTATGCAAGGTATGTTAAAATGAAATCACTATTGAAAAAATATAAAAAGAATGTTGATAAAAATATTTTGTTTAAAATTAACAAGGTAACATATTACAGCCTAACATACTTATAAAATCCAGAGCAATTATTATAGAATTAAAGTAGTTATGTTGATAGAATTGACAGAAAATATTCCTATGCCCAGTTCAACATTACTTGTTAAACAAAAACAGTCACTAACTTTATGATTCCAATGCAACTGCTTGTTCTGATGAAGGGGTTCTGCAGGTCCTCTACTGATAGTAGTGAAAGTTGGTGTTTCAAGTTTAGAGATGTCTTCATCAAGATTATCTGAAAAGTATCTGTACTTAATTTGGTGCTAAAGTTGGCCAATAAAGCCACTAACAGTTTAAGGCTGAGGATATGTTATATGAACATTAATAATAAAAAAATTATCTGTATATCACATAAGCAGGAAATATAACCTATTTTATTTGTTTTGTGTTTGAATTTTGTGCAAAGCTACACAAGGGCTATCTGCTCTAGCCATCCCTAATTTAGCAGTGTAAGACAGCTACTCATCACCATCCACCGCCAACTCTTGGGCTACTCTTTTACCAACGAATAATGGGATTGACCATCACATTATAATGCCCCCACGGCTGAAAGGGCGAGCATATTTGGCAGGACGGGGATTCGAACCCGCGACCCTCAGATTGCAAGTCGAGCGTCCTAACCACCTGGCCATGCTAGGCCTACCTATTTTATTTACATCCCCCAAAAATCATTATATCCTGTTGAGAATTTATTGCTATAGACCTATCTAATCCTCACGTATAATAATTTCAAAACTAGTCTTGTTATTATTCAAGATCATGACTCCCAAAAGAAATTTTGCAGAATTAACTGTGACAATGAGGAGCAAGTTGAAACAGTCTGGTGTGATTGGCTAGTTTCCCTTAATATTTTGTCGAATGGCTCTCCAAATGAGCAAAATACCCAATTATAAATGTATCCTCTATGTTCTAGCTATGGTTCAAGAACAATTATGGGTATTTTGAACTCTGAAATTCATTTCAAAATGATGAATGATATAATATATAGAACAGGATGAATGACCAATAATTCACATTCCAGATCACATATCTGATCATCACTTGACTAATTTTCCTAACAATAAGCTGACTGGAGGGAGGTTTGACATTATTTTTAACAGTGGTTTTGCCTTATCATACTAATAATATTACAAATTGTAACTAGAGGATCTCTTTCAGGTTTTCCAAGACAAATTTCCCAGGAATTTTTACTGAATTTCCATTCCCTGATCCAAGGATATTTCGTGAGAATTCTCGAGAATTGTTTGTAAACTGTTTTGTTTTCAAAAAGTAATAAAATGTTAATAACATTTGTAATATTTTTACTAGGGTTTAATAATTTGAAAAATATAAATGCCAACATAAAATAAATAACAGAAAGGTCTTTGAACGAAAACTCAGTAATTATTATTACCTAACAGAAAATTGTTGAATTTGAAACTAGAAAATTTGGCACCCGATGAAAAATACTGAATAAAATGCAAATTTTCTTTCAATATGGCAAAACCCAGCACAAGTTGCAGCCCTAACTTTTCTTCAATGTCATTAGATTAATAAATGTAAGTAATTAATAAACATTATTCACAACCTGAAGAGGAATATCCCGGCAAAAAAATAGAAATTAATGGATTCAGTGAAGATTCAGATAACATAGAGCATCAAGTTTTTGCTTGATGTAGTAGTTGGGGAATGGAATGTGTAGTGCCCGCTTTTAGTTTTATGGCCTACAGATAGTAAATGGTTCGGATGATTTGCTAGAGATAATGGTGCCAATTTAGATGTTAAAAACAATAATGAGATTCATGGTAGAGGATGGGGAAGAAGAGTTTCAACAGGAGTCAGACTTGGATGAAAGGGATCACAAGCTCATTCTAGACAAACAAAAAGGGGATGTTGCCCAACATCTTATCATAATTCCTTTAAATTTGTTTCTAAAATTTTAAGATTTAAACTTTGCTAATGGATATATTTTAAAAATCAAGTTAATTATCATTTTACATTTTTTTAAAAGATTTATATAGTTGTTTCCACCATTTAACATAAAACAAGCTTAAAACATATTCCTATCTTAGATTTAAAAAAATGATACAGGATAAAAATGACAAGAACGAAAAATCGAAAAAAACATTTAACAGATTCTCTGCCATGTGGCTTCAATGAGTTAATTAAACATATTATAGTTGTCCATATAAATATTAGATACCTGGATTTAGTAAAAAAAGAAAAGTGTGGTTGGCACTAGGGGTAGGAATTATTAATACTACTAGTGGTAGCAAATGTGTTAATAAATCCCCTCACAGATGACAACTTTTTTTGTCATGTCTTCTAAAGCTGAAATTACAAAGTTGGCAAAAAAATATTTTGTTAACATACTTTCCATTCAAGGAAAATTTTCAAATTGATTTGAGTGAAGAAAAAGAAATAAATGTTGTAGACAAATCAGATAGTGATCTCTCATTATCTCGGCAGCTACAAAATGAGATTAATGCTACCATGAAAACTAAGGCCTTGACTCTGGATTACAATAAATCTTTAAACAAGGAATATTTAATATATAAGTTGATTGGAAATCTAACAGATAACTTGCAGAAGCTCAAAGATGGATTAAAAACAATTAAACTGACTTCAACAGAAAGTGAGCATGTTTTTAATCTTACAAAACTTTAAGTGTCAATTATCTATTAAAGATAAAGCTATTGTGCTTTTTCAAATGCTATTGTTGGAAAAAAAAAAATTTAAATAACATTTTTTTTTATTTTTGTGTTATAAAATGAAAATATAGTTTTTTCAATATTTTATTTGGAGTGGATTTAGACCACATATGATCTTTATCACCACTTAGAAAATATAATTTTAAAAAAATTCTCCAGGAATTCCCAGGATTCTGGGAATATCTGAAAGAATGTCCTAGTTCCAAAAAATTAAAATATGTTCGGGAATGAGACCCTATAATTTCAACTATCCTTTGATTGTTTGAATAGGTAGCTCAAAATTTATTTTTGTCTTGCAGAAATATGGCCTAAGTGTGAAAATGTCAGAAAATACATTTATAAATGATAGCTAAATTATATCACGTAATTAACCCTACTTGCAGTTGTAATAGTTTAATAAACATTTTATTTCATTACTGTGCAGATGTAAAATTCAGACAAACAGTGTCTCTCCTATTGTCTTTTGGCAAAACTAATTGCCCAGCATTTATTTCTGCAGCTTGGTGTAAAACTCTTTTTTTTTTTTTTTAATTTTTGTGCAAAGTTACACAGAGGCTATCTCTGCATAGCCATCCTTAAATTTGAACTGAAGACTTGAGGAAAGCTAGTTGGTCAACAATACACACAGCCAGTTTTTATGCTACTTTTGTAGGGCTGTTAGTACTAGATGCCTACCATTTGCCAATCGTGTTTAATGTCATAAACTGACAAGCAGTCAGTTGTACTTTTGTACAGAAGTCAACAGCACAGGTTTATCACCACACATTTACTATATAACCTACTGGAAGCATTTTTCTGCAAGACGTTAAATGTCATAACTATACCATCTCGACTTACATTTTCTTTAAATTGTCAATCTGTAGAAGTCAATAGATCTAATACCTTATAATTATGGTTCTGGTGTATATTGTAAATGTTTCAGTGTGAACATAATGAAAATAATGTGTACTATTTGAAATATATAATATGTTATAGTGTACTCTTGTTTTCATATATCTATGACTGATAATAACAAAACCCAGCCTAAAACTAACAACAAGAGATTGACATTATAAGATAGAAAAGGAAACCAGCTTTATTTAAGTAATTTCACTGGTAGTTTAGGCATCATAAACATTAACATTTTCCTAAAATGAAAATGTATTTCTAATAGTACTTACCTCCACTGACACTGATAGCTATTACTTGACCACCAGGGTTTCTTCTTTGCCCATTTAAGCATTGGTCTGATTTTTTCTCATTTGCTCCAGTCTTTTATACCCCACTCATTTGCCCTTGGCGATATTTGTCTCGTGATATTCTCCACCTACGTCAATGCACCCATAGATCCTGCTACTGTATATAAGCAGCTCATTCAGATAATTTTATCACTTATTTAAGACTGATACCATCCCAGTCTCTAACACTGGCTTTTAGTGGGGAGGAAGGGTGGGAGAGTGTCAGTGCAGGTAAGTATTATTGGAAATACATTTTCAATTTAGAAAAATGTTAACTTCTAAAACATACTTACCTCTGCTGCCACTTATAGCTAGAATTCCACATTAAGAAGGTGGAGGGGCTGGCGAGGGCATTATCCATACAGATAGCATCTGCATAGATGATGGGTGTACTAAGATAAAAGTGGTACCCGAGTGGGGGAACAGCACTACATCCAGAACAGGTATGTTCTTCACCCTGAACTTAGTTTCTGAATCCAGGATGGAATTGTACATGGGTGAACATCACTTTAGGCCAGCTCCAATCAGATAGCTGAGGTTCCACTACTTGGGGTTGGAATTAAGGAGTTTTGTTCCCTATATCCCATGTCGGTGACTAGGGCAAATGGACCACAACATTATATATAAATATATATATATATATATATATACATACTTGATTGGATCCCCACCTGTAGCCATAGAGTGATGCATTCCACATCATGATAAGAAGGTATACAACACCTAAGCGGACAAACCTTCTCCTCCACCTGAAGAAGCCTGAAAAGCAACACCCTAGACTTGGAACAACGGGATCGTGTATGCCTTACTCAACCAAAGGAACAGAACCCACCCAGTCTGGAATTATGAACATTCATCCTCACTCCCAACTGAATGGGCAAAGAGCCTTCCACTTGCTCTCGGAATTATGGGGAGGACATGGAACAACTGTGTTCAACCAAGGACCAAGGATGGCACCACCCCACGTTCGGAATTACAAGGAGATATTGGACCTCCTCCATGAACAATATACTGAACTGATATTGATCAAAAAGAAGGGCCATGCACACCCCAACCAGACAGTCAAGCATCAAATCTGAACCAGTATTATGAGTAGGCTCCTGCGTAGGATGGTGCCACTCCTACCAACATCTGAGAAAAACACATCCAGGGACCCGGATAGGAGGGCCCCCAACTTCTCTAAGAGAGGAGGAATTCACTCTAATACTCTTAAGGAAAAGCCTCTGTCCACCACCCCAGCAACTGGAAACCAGGTGTGGTAAGGACTCCCAAACTCCACTAGTAGAATCTAGGGGGTAATGCAGATTGGGGAGTACTAAGGAACAGAACTCTGGAAACAGTGCAATAGGTGAACCAAGTTCCCTAAATTTTTAAACACAAAATGGGTGGGATTTATTCAATCTGATGATTGGCAGAGACGAGCAGTATCCCCTTTAGCTTTACTCATAATAGTCCATGAGTGGTGGTCCAGGATAGTATGGTAATACCACCTGGTGAGCTCCTAGGTGGTCTTATGGAACACCTCATTTCTACAGAGCCTGTTGCAACCAGTAGTATTTATAGTGAAATAGTAGTTGCTAGTGCAGAATTAGTTTGATAAAAACGCATCTGTCTGGGCAACACTGGCCACAGAGTGGGATCCTGTGAAAACAAGGTAAGGGACCCTGAAAGGTAGAAATAAAAATACTCAGAAATAGTTAAGATAGTAACATGGAGTAGGGAAAAACCCTCATATGAAGAGACTGCCAGATCAGGAAAATAATGTGAGATAAAGGTATTAGGGGAGGTCCACACAGTGACCTCCAGCGGACAATTCGACCAGGCTGCTTAAGACATAGAAAAGAGAAGTCTGATTAGATGTGACTCACAGAAGATACCTCTCCTTCAAATAGAACCCAGAATAAAGTGTTGTCTAGTATCTCTAAAGGTATAAGTGCAGACAACAAAACCTTCAAGCCCTCACTGAACATGACTAAGATTGAAATCTGATTGGACATAGAAAGCAAGAGTAGGCAGATGAATTGGAGAAAAGGATTAAACCCCTTTCTTGTCTGACAGTGTTGGGTAAGAAAAATTGGTCTGAAGAAGTAGAAAGAATGGGAAGGTGGTCTGTGGACAAACAGTGCAAATCACTCCAACTGGTGATGTCCATAGGTCAGCAGCCACGAAAAAATAAACCTGCAGGTAAAGAGGGATACATGGCATATAAAAGTCAGGTCACAAACATGTGTAATGAAAGAACATGTAACCTGAATCTATCTGTTAGGTAACTTGAATGGTCATTTGGGACCAATTATCCAAAACAATGTGATGTTCTTTTCATCAGTGAAATTGTTTGCATGTTAAATCTATTTGAAAGTTACAGATTTTTTTTTTTATAGGAAGACATCAAATAAGTTTAATAAGGTTTGGTGAATATAGTATGTGATGGTAAAGAGATGGTATGTGATTGGTGAATTTTGTTACTAGATTCACCATCATGACACATATATTATGTTTACAAATGTTCAAGTTATTAAAGGTGTTTTGAATTTAAATCAAAGTATGTTAAATTACAATAAATGTTTTTAAGACCTAAATCATTTTCATTGTAATTTATGTTTTATGTAACACTGTTCACGACACCCCTGTAACACATTGTAATAAAGGCTTAGACACCCTCTCACCCGCATAGCATTATGTAATTTTTAATAGTCCTCATTTATTGTACAATTTATGATCAAATATCATTTTTTATAATTGTCACCAATCAATTTTATATTTAAAAAACTTCCTGTCACAGAATCAATATTCATAAGAAAAATCGCCCCATCACAAGTTGTCCTAGTAACAATGTGGCAGTAACGAAATGTCCAGTAACTAAATGTTCATAACAAAATGTCCAGATCCCATGGTAAAATATTATAATCACTCAAGTCCTTATTTACTGAATATTATTTTTATGTTTATTGTATTCAAACAATGTACATAAATTAATTGGCAAACTGACTAATTAATTATTTATAACTGTTATAATGATATGTTTTCAATAAAAAACATTATTACCATTAGTGAAGTGAGACATGTTTTCATAATCTGATTATCAATTTAGCTGATTTACACAATATCAATGGGGATTATTATACATTTAAAAAAATGGTAACCACCAACAGAAACACTAGTATTAACAAGACAAGTAATGTGTTTTTATGAAGACCATGATTTAATGTGAATATCATTTGATTGGATAACAATTAAGGATGTACATTCCTGTGTTTAATATTCTTCTGAGTATGTCCTTATCATATTAATTGTTGTAAAGTTCATCAACTTTTAAAAATGAAACCTACATTTAGCATTTGAAATTTCCTCCTCCCCCGCTTTCATGTCATTCTCTTCTTCCTCCTCCTCTTCACCTACTGAAATGGTTCCACCACCACCACCACATTTTTTACCTAAAACTTTTCTTACTCTTGTTCCTTTTCGACCTCTACCTCTTCCTTTTCCCTTTAGTTTGAGAGAAATATTCTTTCTCACAGAAGGACTCAGTGTGGTCCCCGTGTTCCCTTCTGAGTCAAGTTCCAAGTCATCTGGAATGACAGTTTATAAAAACAGATATGATTGACCAACAAACTAACTATTAAGCAGGCCCAGTTTCAATTGAATTTTAAAACTGAAAACTGCCACATTCTGTGATTTAAGATTTTAATGTTGTACATACAGAACTTTAAAAGCTTAGACCAGATAATGAAAAAAAAAGAAATTGTTACCCAAGCAACTAAGAGTGAAGAGAAAGAAAGTACTGTGATCAAAAATTAGAATATATACAATATACACTTATTATCTTTGTATTAAACTTTATGTTATGCACCAGAAAATATGCTCAATACCAGAAACCAAAACTACAGTTCATTGTATTACTATACATTACTACATAAAAATTTCAAATTGACACTAGAGCCACAGTTGTATCTTTATTTTTAGCAATCTTACTCCCTAAATGGAATTTTGAAAAACTATAAAATGTTTTTGGCAACTTTATTAACATTTGATTTTATTTTTCATTCATCAAAATAATCAAAGTTTCTACATTTAATCAAGTTTACATTATACAAATAATGGTCCAAATTACAATTATTTTGAATAATATGATTACCTTCATGAATATATTTCCAAAACTCTTAAACACAAAACGTTGCACAAAAGATACTGAAGCCAAAAGACCATTACGTGTTTAAGGCTTCTTAAAAAGTAACTGAATCTTGTGTTACCTCATTTGATTATTCATACTCCTAAGTAGTGAAGTTTAAAAAGTATTATGTTTATGATCTTAACATAACCTATGAACAACAAGGAACCATATGGCCTTTTGTGGCTGACCTTGTACACCTGCCCTTGGGATAAGTAAAAACTGAAACCCACCCTTTATTTTTCAGGAAATCATTGATTCCCCTCTTAAACTCCTGTAAAGTGCTGATGGCAACTCATTCCATACATCAATCACCCTGTTAGAAAAATAAAATTATCTCAACTTAAGCCTTGTCTGATTTTCCAAGTTTTAAGCTTAAGTCCTCTCATCTTCAGAAAACAGCACAAAGAAAGCAGATGGCTTAATATTAACATTTTCTTACACTGAAAATATATTTCTGATAAATACTTACCTATTCTCACACAAAGCTATCTCGATCTTCTTTAGCAATGTTAAAAAACTTTCTCACTCAGCGCACCACTCTATATATCCCATCAATTTCACACTATTTTTGAAGATGTAAATATCATGTGACTACTCTCCACCAATAGTATTGTGCCACCTATAGTTGTGCAGCTATCTCTCTCTCTCTACTACTCTCACTCAATCTTCACTCTAAAAGAAGAACACCGACAGTGGGGAGGAAGGGTGGGAAGTGTGTGAGATGAGGGAAGTACCTATTGAAAATACATTTTCAATCTAAGAAAATGTTAACTTCCGATACGGTCTTATTTCCACTCATATAAAGCTAGAATACCACATTGCAAAGGGGCCAGTTTAGATGCACAACATTGAAACCAAGTGGAAAGTGACTGCCCAGAATGAACGGGTGTGCTCCAAAATGAAAAAGCACACTTCTGGAACAAGTATGCTCTTCACCCTTCAAGTAGGAAATGAATCTAATAAGGGCAGAAAAAAGGATGTGCACAAGTGCAATTTGTTCTGAGATGTGCAATCCATAGTAGAATATAAAAGAAGTTAGCTATGTTCATACACAACCTTAATTGGACAGACGAGGTTCCATAACTTGTCCTTGGCATTAGCAGGTTGGGATAAAAAAAAGAAGAAGATAAAAACAAATATATTGTGACATAAACATAGTGGCTAGGGCATGTGGACTAGTCTACATATACTCATCAACCCCAACCATAAGTAAACAGAGTGTCATACGTCTAGCAACAGGAACTACAAAGAGGAAGTTAGCTTTCAGCTGAAACCAGACTCCCAAAACCACCATAGGAGCACGAAGTACAACAAACTGAACCTGGCATTATGGGATTGTGGCATTGCCTCTACTCAACTGTAAAAACAGGGTAATATCTGTATCCAGTATTACAAGCAGAAATCATAACTCAATCAATCGTAAATGCATGGAAGAGACATCCTACACCTGGAATTACGAGTAGAACATGGAACATTTGCTCAACTGTAGAAACAGTGTATGTACATTCTGTTGCCAGTATTATAAGGCAGATGGAAATCCCCCAAACTCAACCATAGGAGGAGGGAAAGAACATCCTGCAACTGGAATTATTGAGAAGAGGGGCCTCTACTGCACACAACCATACGAACAGGGCGGTGTCACCCCAAATCTAGTACTATAAGCAGGATCCCGCATAGCCTGGACCTGCTCCAATTGAAAGCTGTTCACCAGGGGAAATGGAAGGAGGGAAACCAGCTTTGCCCTCTTCTCACTGAATGTATAGTCATGAGTACATATGTTAAATTTCTAAACCCACTCAGGAGGAAGCCTCCATGGTCCACCACCCTAGTGACTGGGAAGGGTAAGGACTCCTGTGCTCCACTGGAAGAAAAAAAAGGAGGGGGGAAGTAAACATGGTGGGGAGTCCAGAGGAACATCACACTGATGAAAGTGAAATGGGTGTCTGAAATTCCCTATTTTGAAAAGCAGGGTTGGCAGGAATGGCAAGAAATCTCCTTCTGCTTAACTCATAAAGTCCATGAGTGACAGTCCATCTAGAAATATATATACCAATGGTTATACCACCAATGGTCTTGCAGAACACCCCATTTCTACAGTGAGCATTATAGTGCAATAAATAAATAGTGAGGGTTTGAGGTAAAGCATACCTTGCCAGGCAACACCCATCACAGAGTGGTAAAAACGAGGGTTGCTGATAATAAAAGCATAAACAAAAAAAGTTGATAAGACTTACTCCAATCAAAGGAGAACAGACGTGTGTAGAATCACAATGGGAGGGAGACAGTATCAACCTGAGAATATACAGCCAGATCATGCAGATGATGAGCAACGATAGTATTGGGAGTAGTCCACATTCTGGCCTGAGCAATCTCCTCCAAAGAGCAGTGAAGGCATGCAGCCAAAAAAATGGTGATATGATGAATTTGAAGTAATGTTGTGGTGACAGCGTACTTCCATGGATAAGTTCGAATGCACCATCCTAATGAATTGACGAACCCAACCAATTTATGTGACAGGGAATAGATTACACGAAACAGAAAGGTTTCAGCGAATAAAAAGTCGGGACCCATGAAGCCCAAAAGGAGGCAGTAAGTGCCACATAACACCATAAGAAGCAAACCAGCATGACTCGAAAGAAGAGGAAAAGGAGGGAGATGAAAGGGGAAGACAAAACTTATGAAATTTGGAGAAATGGAAGGTGTTTGACAAGGCTGCCGATAGCTAGACATGGTCAAAGTGGACAAGCCTTTGCCAAACAACCAGATGAAGAATTGGGAAAGATGAGAAACAGAAGGGTGGAAAGGACAAAAGCCGCAGAAGGTAGACCATTGCCCTTGTTAAACAGATATGGAAGAAGGTATGATGGATCAGGAAATGAAAGATGCAACACGTGGAGTCAGTTTCTGGGCTAAGGCAATGGATCTGAAAAAGTCATGGATGAAGAAAGAGCATGGTGATGTCTGGATGAACAATGTCCAACCAAGGTTGATGGAGTAGAGACCAAGAGAGAAGTAAGTGTAGGAGAAGTTGTACAAGAAAGGTTGGAGAAGAGGGAAGGGAACCATTTTTGTGCCAGTCAACATGGAGCCTCAAGTAGGATTAGAAACTGAGTGATTTGGATTAGGGATATAACTGGAGAGGAGTTGAATAGGAGGGTAAGAATAGAAGTTATACTCTTCCAATCTTGACTGAATGTGTCCATTCCCAGAGCTAGTGAGCATGGAATGAGAGGCCTAAAAGAAGGAAGTTTGGTGTTCCAGTAGGTAGTCAAAACATCAACATGAGGTATTCCCAGCTGAGAACACACCTACAGAAAGACCTGTGAATCGAGGGACCACTCCATGGAAAAAATCTTGTTACGTTGAAATAAATGATCCTCAATCAGATTCACCATGTGGTGACTGTGGGCCCAGAAAAGGAGATCCAGTGTCTCAAAGCACAGAGACCCTGATTTGGTACCCTCTTGCTTGGTGATATACGTGACCCCTGAGGAGTTGTCAGAGTTTACCTTAACCACCCTTCCCTGCAGGAGAGGAAGAAAGTGGGACAAAGCTTGACAAACTGCCAAAAGTTTGAGAATGTTGATATGGAGAAAATATTCCTCGACTAACCACAGACTGGAAATCTCCTGAGCGTCAAGGTAAGCACCCCAACATCTAAAGATGCATATGTGAACAGATGTAAATCCGGACAAGTGGAGGAAACAGAATCCCTACTGTCTAGCCACCAAGCCAAGCTGGCCCTGATTGTGGAAGAAATGGTAAAAAAGGTGATCCAAGGGATCTGAGATGTTCCAATGATCAAGGAGTGTCCACTGAAGAGAATGCATATGAGCTTGACCCATGAGTATGAGAGCTTTTAAGGAAGCCAACATCCCAAAGAGACAGAACCTCTTGAGCTGTGAGAGAATGTGAGGTGAGGGTCTTGTGGACTACATGCTCCATATCACAAAGACAAAGAGGAGAATGTTGGGCTCAACTGAGGTTGGAATTGAATAAAACCTCAAATGAACAATGTATTGAGTGAGGGTAAGAATGGACTTCACCTTTATCAGGATTCCTCCTGTGCTGCTTCTTGTAGGAGCAGATGAGTGTGGTCTCTGGACTGTGAATGGGAAGAAGTGAGCAGGAGCCAATCATCCATTTGAAGATGAGTGCGAAGACCCATCAAATGAAGATGTCAGTCAAATATTCTTACCATCTGAAAAAACACATAAGGATCTGGGGTTAGTCCAAATGGAAGAGCCCTAAACTGGAACACTCGACTTCGAGCTATAAATAACTATCAACGATGTGGGTGGTGGGGAGATGAATCCCAAATTGTACAGTACAAGGAGAAAAATTGGATTACAGTGTCAAGAATGTAGGAAATGTAGCTAAAGCAAAGCTCAGCCCTAT